GATCATCGCAATCAGACACATTATTGTTCAAGGATATTATTTTTCCTGTGACCTTATAGACTCACTTCTCTAACACGGGGAGCTTGTGGAAGGAAGTTTGTTAGAAGTTAAACACGAGGAAGCGCAATAAAGCCTATTTACCTTGTAGGGGGCAAACCCAAGCCCAACAGCAAAGAATTATTACATGGAAAAAAAAAAAAATCATTTGAGCCTCTCTGCAGCCTCATAAAAACCCTACAGATAGCCTGCAATTCTGCATGAGCAGACGTCCTCTCTCCTGTGCATTGTCCAATCACAGCCCTTTTGCACTTAAGTGAAATAACAGTAATTAAAAGTGAATGGAGTGCAATTTCCATGAAAACTTGGAAAGAGATGTAACATTATTTGCAGTAGCCTTTGTACCGTGAATGGACAATTTTCTAGTTTACGCAAATCTCAGCCATTATTTTCTTTGCAGTGCAAACTTGAGCCAAATATTTTCTGTCATATTAAAGACACAAATAGTCAGTTTTAATTTCTGTCCCCTACAACCATGCACAAAAGCTTCCAAAGCTACAGTAAAATGTCTGATATTTATCTTTCTAATAAAGAATAATCTAGGATTCCTTTTTCTGGTTCTCTTCAGAAAGTGAAAACAGCTTAGAAAACATCTCCTGTTTACGTGCAATGCTATGGAGCAGTAGGCAGCCAGGGCATTGGCAGATGTGTCCAGTGTTAATGGGACCTTAACTAACGCTTAAGATGAGATCAATTAGATACTAACTCCTGGTCTTCCATGACAGACAGCTTTCTAGCTGAGGAGCGTGTATACACAGATTAAATACTTAAACATAGCTTTCTCGGCTATAAGTAAAATCCCAAGAAAGAACACTGACAGGTCCAAAACCATGGCAGTGACTCGTGACCTGGTAACTGGTTTTGGAAACTAGAGCACCTTCATTTCACTTTGTTCTTAGGACCAGACAGAGCAACAACCCAGAAAACGTGTAACAGTGCCACATCGAAGAACAGCACCCAAAGCAGCTCTTACATGAAGATTTTTCCTATTCACATTGCTACTGAAGTATTATTTTCTGCATCCTATGAAGGGAAGGAAAGAGAAACCAGCTCCATGTTTTATGGTACTGCAGGACTCGCTTTTTACTTGTTTACAAGCTCTCTTCTTGCTAAGCTGAATTGTGTCTTTGCTACACACCTTGAGTGCAAATCAGTTAGTCAGACTGGTTCCTCTCAAGATGAGGGAGTTCTGCCCCACTCTGCAAGCTCTCATGTCCTTTATGCGGATCATTTGCCCACACATTCCCAGAGCAATGTAAACTTTAAGCTAAATCTGGCAGCAGAGTCTAACACATGCCACAAGAACAGCAGAACTGTTGTGGAAATGGAAGTCCCTTTTTGTTTACAGTGCAGCCAAACGCTTTATAAATGAGACCCTTCTGCCACCACAGAAATGTCCAGCATCTGATTTACCTACTATTTTAGACACATCATTATAGCACATTCATCAGCTGAGTTAGTCACTGCTTGCATTAGAAGTATCTCTACCACTCATATTTTAGCTATGCTCATCTCACCTTCCCTGCAGAGCTGTAGAACTACACCAGCCTTTGTGAAAATTCAGCTGGTATCATGGCCCAGTAGATCAATTATCTCTCATCTTTACAGCTACAAAAAGTTCATTGTTGCAGCACATAAGATGATAAAAATGTACCAAAAGCACAGGGTTTACATTATCATTTATATCGTTAATGAAATTACTTTTACCTTACATGAGTTTCAGACCCCACTCTCCTGCTCCTCCCCCCTCAGCTGAATAATTGTCACAGTACAGATATTAACTCTGGACAATACAAGTCCTAGTTCCGAGCTGGGCTGCTCCCAGTATGAAGCCTCATGTGGGAATGGTAGAAAAAGTGGCACTGTAACATTTTTCTGTCTTAAAAGCAGATGTTCAGTTGGTGTAGTTTTGGAGCTATGATAATTACATGACAGCTCAGAGGACACCTCTGCAAATCTGGTGCCTGACCTGTACTTTTCACAAGTAAGAAGAGTCCAGTGCTTTAATCTACAATAGTGTGGAAAAGGCCGTCTGCTCACCTGCAGTAACTGGGTGCTGCATGGTGATGCATGTCCCTTTCCAGTCCTAGACATGACCTCTACAACACAGAACTTTTCTGTGGGAGGTTCATGAGGATCTCCAAGCTGAAATGTGGGACCATATTTGGGCAGAAAATTTGAGTTTTCTTTAACTGAGGTAACAAACACATTAACAACATCAAACACCTACTGAAGAATCAGTGCGAAGCAGTTGTCTGACAGAAACCAAACTAGTCCTGCCCTAGGAATCCTGGCTATACTTGAGAGAGTCATTGTTTAAGGCAAGGAACTGCTTAATAAGGAATTGGTCTTCAACAGGGTTTTCGTCATAGACTGACTGACTGAAGCTGTTGCTTTACAGTTCACACACAATTCAAAATGACACACTGATGTTATACCTGCCTGGCCAAGTGAGATGACAGAGCAAGTCCACCACCTTGCTTTTCAGCTGTATTTCCCCTTTTATATCTTGAAAATTCTACTCACTCACTTGTAGATCATGCAAAGAAAGGAAGCAGCATGACTCAGCTCCACACTACAATGGCTGGAGCAGATCCAGACCTAGCAATCCTTTGGGCTTTCCTTACCAAAATACAAGCCTGCAGCTTGGATAATGTAAAGCATCCAGCATTTGTGTAAGAATTGTTAGATGGGCAGCATGCCAGCTGCAGTCCTTAAGCAATGTGCTAGTTCTTTACACTGATGGAAAATTATTTTCTGAAAAGTTAGGAAGGGAGCAAGAAAAGCCAAAGGCCTCTGATCTTAAACAGTGCCTACAGCAGACAAAACGCTGAAGAGGAACAGCCTCCTGAACTGTATTTCATAGACATGAATTTGCATGGAAATCTAGTGGTAGATAACATTTTATAGTGAGTTTCACATCATGCCATACTGGCAAATATTTTTGTATAATCTGTAAATTACAGAAGTCACAACAGAGACATAAGAAAGCTACTAACTTTAAGGAATCCAGGAACTTAGAGTAAATTTCAAGAACACTGAGTCCCGGTTCTTTGCCTAAACCACTAGGGAATAGTACTCTAAAAATTAGCTACTCTAAAAATTCATTGTCATCTAGAAATTATTCCTGATCCTCTACCATTTTGCTAACACCTCATTCACAGATGTTTTCCATATAAAGGATCCACAGGTGAGTTATCATGGAGTAAATAACGTCCTGTAAACACACTTAACTTCACTGTGTAAATAAGCCTTGAGCAAAATTCAGCAAGAACTTCACTTCAGTTCACTCCCTGAATGCACAAAAAAGTTAGACGATTTGATGGTTATCTTATAGTAATCTAACCTCAGAGATAATGATCTGAAATCTAAACCCATTTCTCAGAACAATGTTGTACATTCTAGTTCATGCCCAGAAGCTCTGGGCAATAGGGTGAATCTGTCCTCTCAGGCTCTGGAGGAAATCACATATCAGTCATTACTCAGATAAATATGTGTAATACTAGTAAGGAAAGTAATAAAGAGGCATGATCCAAGCTATTTCTCTGAAATGGCCTTCACCTTCCTACAGAGCAAACTGAAGTATTACTTGCAAAAAGCAGATACTCTGGACCGTGGACGCTGGGGGATGCCTGAGCAGTACCAGGAAAACTGCATCACATACTAACCAACCTCATGTCGCATTAGAAGACAGGCCAGTAGGGTTCTGGGCTCTGTGTTAAATTTCAAAAGATGGTTCATTGAGCAGATTTTATGCTTCGCAAAGCTTAGCAGCTTTTTTTCCTTATCCCCCTGCAAAATGTTTTGGGCATTGTCATATGACTGTACTACAAAACTTGAAGTTATCCAAAAGCAGTTCATGAGAAGTGAACGGAAACATCTCTCTTCATTCCAAAGGAAAAACAACTTCTATGCTGTTTTCCTAAGTGAGCTGAAAACTTGGAGAGAAACCTAAAGCTAAAAAAAGCAAAGAACTCAAGAAGATTCATATTCTGGACTGTGGTTTCTGCTGCCTTAGCTCAAGGGAAAATATGTTCATGGGAAAAAGGCCTGCCTGGAGCCAGATATTTTTCAACTCTGACTTTTCCAGTTGGCGTGGCTTTAAATCAGTATGTTGCTATTAAAGTTATTTCTTCATAAACAAAAATATTCTTTATGGATTGTATGATAGCTGTTTACGATTGAAACAACTACTTGTACCATGTTTCCTATCAACCGGTATCTAGTTCAGCTCCTATTAACCCTAGATAAGACAGCGATCAGGCAATTTAAGAGGCCTTTAAAGAGGTTAGTTCTGAGTTTCACTGATTCAAAGAGCTGAATCACCTTCCCAGAAGACAGTTTCTGAATTAATCCCAACGCACAGAAGCGCCAGCTTTATCACCTACCTTTGTATCTACAAACAACTAAAGAAAACAACATCGTGCCTTAGAAAAACACAAATCTTGTACGGCTTAATTTGAAAAAAACCCTTCCTGTCATGTTATTATGGACTGTCTTTAATACTGCAATTCACTCTTGTTTTTAGCCAGGACTAAAGCAGATTATAAATACAATAGAATTCCACACTCACCCTGTGAAGACTATCCTGCACACAAACCTGCCACAGGCAATTCAGAGAATTTTTAATTGTATAACACTGCAACAAGTGGGACAAAATGTGATTGTGTTGCCCAAACACACTGTGCCACGCCCCAGCAAGTATGGTTATCCTTATTCTAAATGCTGTACCAACACATCTTACCTAGAGATTATGATCCCCCTTAGACACGTGAATTGTCTTCTGCATTATTAAAGAGTTAACAAAAATATCTAATAGGGTTGTCTTTTGAGATTCCTCCAGACTTTCAGAACGACACAGTATGCTTTTGATCAACTTTAAAGTGAACTTCACCCCGTTTTAAAACTGCAGTGAAATTATGGTGTATGTGAAAACCACTTACCTGTGATCAACGACTGTTACATCGGAAGCAGGAATCCCCAGAAGAAAACAACTCTCTTCCAGTTCTTTCTTACGAACCTCTCCTTGATTGTAATAGTTTCCTGAAAACAGCAAACACAGATTAGGTTAGCTCGGAATGAATTCCTCTTTTCTTTCTTGGTGAGCATCGCACATTAAATAAAAGGGCATCATCTGAGGAACAGGTACATTGCTGGGGACAAGCTCCATGGCTTTTCCCTGAGCTAAGCACAGCTCAGCTCAGGGTAAAACACAGGCAAAGTTCTGCCCACCTTGACTACATTCCTCGTGGTACCCACTCCGTGCGGCTTGCACCGTTCGTAAGCTTATTTGGCAAGGACATCAGAAATTGCTGTGTTTAATCAGATCAGTGGTCCAAACAGTCCCGTCTCCTCCTGAAAGTGGCCAAACTTAAATGCTTCTGCCAAAGAGACAGGAAATCTTCCAAACAATTCTGGCAGAGACTGCTTGGGAAATTGCTTCCAACTACCTGTTTGATCAGCAAATGTCTTATACTTTGAAGCATCACAATTTCTAGCTCTTCCGCGTTTTTGTTTGGGCTTTTTGTTTTATTTTGGTATATGCCTAATCCCCTTCTGAATCCTAATCCCCTTGGTGTTATTTTACCAAGATTTACTATCTCTTTTGGCGAATTCCATACGCTGAGGATGCTTTTGTGGGGAGGGAAAAAGTCTTCTAATACGCATATACATGGCCTAACTGCTGACACTTCTGTGAATGGAAGTCATCAATATACTACAAAACAATTAAGCAAGATCTTTTCATAAACACAGGAGAAACTGCCTTTGCAGTGAGGTGACAAAAAGTTGTTACGGTTGGCAAATTTCCAGGTTGTCTGTGTGTGAGAGGTTAGTGGGATCTTCGTCCGCTCTTTAAAACACAAGTATTCGTAACAAATCAGTATCAAATAATCTCCTTAGGAAGGGCCAAAGAGTCACTCCTTCACCATTAGACATGCTGCCCTTCACTCGCTCCTGCGCTCTCACAGCACAGGCCAACCGAGCCAAGCCCAACAGCAGGTCCAAAGTACTTTGAAGAGAACTGTTGAGGTAACAGAAGGAAAGCCTGTCCCGAGCAGCATTCTTTAAGTGATTAAAGTTTATAGTATATTCTGGGCCACTTCTAATGAGCAGTAATTGTCATGTAACACTAGGATACAGTGATGGGACTAAAAGGATTTGAAGAAATGAGGAATCCCATCATAACAATCTCTGGACACAAAAGATTTCTCTGAGGTCTGCATCATTCACAGAAGAAAATCTGGCAGAAACTAATACAGCAAGATGGCAAAGAACTTAACAGAACCAAAAGAAGAGAGAAAAACCTAATTCAGATACGGCATTTGGGAAAAGTTGTAACAGACTGAGACCAACAACTAGCAGGGAAATGGGCTCCATTATCTTAAAACACTGCCTCCTCCTCCGCTGAATTATTTTCTTCTCATCTTGCCATGACATTCCCTTACTTTTTCTTGGCATCAGCCACGCGAAGTCCATGCCAGAGCCACGATGGCCCCTTCCAAAATGTTGCCCTGTGCAGGGCAGTACTTGCAACCCAATTTTAACTTTGAAGCAATAAAATGAAAAAAATACAGCTGAGCATTAATGTATGATTCAAGTCTGTAGTCAGCTGTCTTGAATTACCCCAGAACTTTTTATTGTTGTGGGTGTGAGTCATCTAAATCTAGCATTTCTCTCAAGCGGTGCTGCAATCTGAGCCATCACCAGCAAGCTTTGTAAAATTTTCAAAGGGGGAAAGAATAATGAGAAAAAAAAGCCTTCTTGCAGCCTGTGAGTGAATGGTTTTAGGAGACTATGACAATGATTATCTGTGGGTTTGCCGAGGAACATGTCAGCTTGGCAGTCTGCACCTTAGATTGCAGGTTCCATCTTCAGCAAAATAATTTAATGACTGTTTAAACCTATCTTCTGCTGCAATGCAGTGTACTGTCTGGCTGCAGGTGATATTTTATCCAAATAGTACCACTGTTCTCAAAATACCTAACTTGTACTGAACTCATCCGCGTTCCACAGCCTGAGAAACGTGTCAGGACATCAGGAATATGTAAACGCTAGCAAGAAAAAATGGGCAGCTATCAAGAGTAGCAACAGCTGAATAGCTGATGCTGCTGGACCCTATCCATGCAGCACTCACAATAGAGTGCCAGCTACTACAGAGAGCAAAGCACGTTTAAACAGAGTTATTATTTCAACTGAAGATTATTCAGTGTGGAAAAGACCAGGTTTTTGGTTTTGGTTTTTTTCAGTGCTGTAGCTGTAATTAATTTCTAAGTCATTTTGATTGATATCTGAAAACTGCAAGTATGATGGTTTCTAAGTAATGATTTTGCCTCAGTGTTACAATTTGCAGTCTTTGATCAACTCACTTGTCATTATCAATCATACAAACAATGAGAGGATGAACCATCTGAATTGCCCAAAGGACTAATAAGAGGCACAGAAAATTCTAACAGGAATCTATCTAGTTATCTAATAGGCAGCTCCATGAATGTACTCTCCTATACATACTGCTGGTTCTGTTACGAAGACAGCAAGAGAGAACATAGAAAGCAGTGTCAAACACTGAATGTTTCACGTCACTCAATTACGTGTAAAGGAAAAAGAAAATTTAACAAAACAAACAGAAACACAACACTTATTTGGAAAGTTCTCTAATAGCAGAAGTGTGTTAGTCCCCCAAACTGAAATGGCAGAGTTGCACTTCAGTAATCTCTCCATAACTGTGAAAAAGCCAAATGGTATCCACAGACCTTTGTCCCTCAGCAAAGACAACTGAAAACTCTGCACTAAATCTTGAATGGGAGGTACAGAACGATCAGTAAAGCCATTACACTGCTGGACTTCAACAATGGCTTAATCCCTGTCTTCTCACCTAGATGGTTTGTTATGACAAAAAGCTTTGAGAACAATGACCAGAAAAGTTGGCAGTGAACTAGCTGGAGCTTTCAAAACCACAGAGGGCCCTTTTCCCAAATGTAAGCAGCAGCAGTGTAAGATGTTACATAGTTTGTAGCCTAAAATAATCCTCTCAACAAACATAAAAAGAATCTTCAGACTTCACTGCAGGCTCATGAATCCTGGTGTAGCAGTATGGTCTGAAAGATCTATAAAATTAGGTTGTTTCTTACACACAAAAAACTAAACAATGTAATAACTGATTAGGTATCAGTTCTGTAGAAAAAAGAAAGAAAGAAAAAAAAAACCCCAAAACCTGGAGCTTTAGTAGATGACGAGAAGAACAGGGGACAAAGTGGCACGTGCTGTGAAAAATTCTTGTCCTGGCAAACAGTGGAGCCTATGAGAATCTTTCCATTGTATTCAACCCCAGAAAGGCCTCAGCGGGAGTACTGCTTCCAGTTTTTGATCACTGCACTTCAAAAAGATATGAACCAACTGGAAGAGTCCAAAGGAGAGCAATGAGAATGATCAGAGGTTTAGAAAACATGATTTATGAGGAAAGATTACAAGAAATCGGGTTGTTTAGTCTGGAGAAGATAAGACGGAAGAGGCAGATAACAGCCTTAAAATATGTAGGAGCTGCTACAAAGGAATATTCTGATTTCCACGCTCATGGCAGATAGGAAAAATAAACAAACGAGCTTAAATTACACCAATGACTCAGAAAAAAGTGATTTGAAGAAAAGCTAATGCAGCACTGATAGAGACTGCACAGGCTGAGGAACCTCCCTGGAGGTTCTGAAGAACATTTGTCTGCAGCAGATGAAGACACATTGATGCTGCCTTTGGGTCGTCTGATGGACAAATATGACCTCGGGTTCCCTTCAGCGCTATTTTTCCTTGATTGGACTCTTGTGCAACTGTTATTTTTAGATGTGTTACAGCAAATGTATGACATTAAAACTGGATCATTCGAGCAAGTCCTCTACAAGACGACAGAATTACAAGGAGGTGAAGAAAGGCTGTGTAAACAGTGCCTTTTTACAACCTACTGATGCTTCTGCACAGTTTTAAAGTACCTCAGTGCTGCAACACGAGACTGGATTGTGAAAACTGCGCAAGGTTCAGATATAGAGGAAGATTTTACTAACGATCGCAGCTGCTGAAACTCTGCAGAAAGTAACATTTCGCCCCAAGCTGCCACATGCGGCACTCTCCGGGGAGCACAGGATGTCACGACAGTGCGCCATGACCCAGAACTGTGCCATCGAACCACAGATGGATGGCACAGCACCTCCTCCACAGCGCAGGTATTACACGGCGGTGCCACACTGTCATGGCGGCACAGGCCTACATGGCCGTGAGTTCAGGACAACGATGACATCATGTGTGGCATCACGGTGACATCACATACTATGTCACAGCAGAGTGAAGTCGCCCCACAGCACAGCCACTGCTCGTTTCTCCGAGGCACTAACACATCGTGACAGCCCGGCGCTTACGTCACAACCCAGCGCTGACGTCACTGCGCGAGGCCACACACGAGAAGACATCACGGTGGCCTTCCCATGACGTCACGGGCAGGAAGCCCGGCCTCTCGGGACAGGCGCGGGT